CAGTCAATACCTAACCAACTCAATGGTGTCTGCAAAGCAACTGAATTGAAATTACACATTAGTGGCTTCAAGAACAAAAATTAGAATACAATGTCTTCAAATTGACCATTTTCCGTTCACTGCGAGAATCACGCGTTATGTGTGAAATCGAACGTAAAAACAGGACAAACAAAGGTCATAGCGGCGTCAAATATCGCGTGGGATTCGACAAATGCGAAAGTATTTTGGGGGATATTTCCATTCTTAATAATGTGCTGTACACATTTGATGCTAGACAATTTTGACGAAGTAATGGTATTCGAAAGCAATATTCCTCTGTCGAAGATCGGTCGGTCGTTGTGAGCTACAAAATCATTCGATTTTTGCGGCAGACGTTCGACGTGCGTCTTTCATGCATCTCGTGAGATCTTGCAGTTAAACGGAAAATCACCTATTGACAGGTAAAAACCAAATATAATCAGTAATGACCTCATTTTTACCTACTGTTCATCAAATGATTGTGGGTGGGGGCACTGTTTATTTTCATTCACACAAAATTAATTAGACCTATTTTGAATCTGAGGTCAAACTCCAAAAGTTTCTACTAGTGTAAATAAAAAAAATTGTATAATAAAAATGTGTATATATTAAATGATGGTTTCTCAAGTCTCTCAAGTGCTAGATTTTAATTTTGCTACTGTCAGTCATAAATGAAATCCACAAAATTAAACCAATACAAATTATAAAATTATGATAGAACTCATTGATGAATGCGCAAATTTATGAATTTAAAAACCAGTGAATGTGATTTAATATAAAAAGCAAACTTGTAACTATGAATACTCCAGTACATACATTAATTTCACAAGAGACAACTCTTTGTCAGTGAAAATCGATACATTTAGTAGCAGTAAAAATTTCTCTCTGGTTCCTACGGAACAAACTTTCACGAATATTGTCTTCACAAATGTCATAAAATCATATTGGAAATATTGGAAAAAATTCCCAGAAGCACAAATTTATCATTTTACAGTATGTAATAAATTACAATATTATTCTTGAGAACAAAAAATAAAAAAAAGTGTAAATGATAAAAACATTGGAGAAATATTACATTGTCACCATGACAACTGACAGGGATTTTAAAATTTACAAAGCTAGCCAATCAGTTTTACCCTACAAATTTTATGAGAGGATATTGCAAATCAAAAATCTTACCAATTATTGTAATGAAATACGTATTTATGATTTGTTAGTAGTCTGGCGCCACCTTTAGGTCGATTACTTCGAATAATTAATGACTTTTGTTTATTGTTGCTATATAGCCTTGGAGAGTGTCTTTGGTTCATTAGAATGTAAAATAAACTACGTCTTTTAACCACAGCCTGCCACGGTGAATTCCTCATAATAAGTTTCAACAACTACAACATCTGTTGTAAAAATAAAAACTATTGTTAATTAAAAATACGGATTTCACACAAAGTACTTTGATTTATTAAAAATAGTTCCTAACTTGGCTGTATTTGTGAAATGATGATAATTTACTGTCATTGATGCATTGTTTCAGACACCAAAATGAGCAACATTGCCAGGAAAGTTGCTGACTGGTTTGTTAGACATGTCTAAAGATCAATATGTTATTGAGACTTTACAGGGATTTTTTTTAAACAAGGGAACAGGGGCGCAGGGCTCTCATGCCATGGCCATGCACCCCTTTACGCTCGGAAGCAGATCCTCTGGCAACCATAAAATTCTGATTGACCAGGGATTGGGATTGACCACATGTGGCCACAGTCTTCAACTGTGACCTGTCTGATAGTAATTTTGGCCCCAAGGAAGTCATAGAATGCTCCATTTTAACTTAAAAATATCAAAAACTCCACACCCTGGTAGGGAGAACCCTATCTCCCCCACTTACAGTTTTTTTCTAGAAAAACCCCTGCAAAACAACACCAACAGATTAATACCGTAAAATCTGTATTAAAAACCGCATCCCTGATAAAAGCCGCATCCATTCTTTTGAAACAATTAAGACCCAAAAATTCACCATTTCCCATATGTGTAGATGCTCTAATAGAAGTCGCATCCTCTCTGTTGCATTGTACTATTTTACTAGAAGCCGCGGCTTTTAATACAGATTTTACAGTACTAATTTACATACAATTTCCGTCCAATCATTTAAATTGCAGTGTAACAAATAGGATTCCAGCGAATAAATAAAATGTAAGTACTGATGCAGTCTCACTTGTCAGAATACTGGTGCATGTATAGTACCTGGCATAACACAAGTACATGTACCATTACAAGTGCCAAACAACGCACCATCTAAATCCTTAACTTTTTCACTATCAGACCTTTTCTCTCCAAATGATCAAAAGAGGGAACTGGTGGTGAAAGGTTAATGATCTTGAGATGCACATAGCAAATAGTTGTGTCTGACAAAATTTAAAGTGTTGATGAAATGCCCACAAACATGTTTCTCATTTTCGATCTGTGTCCCTCTGAAATGCACATTTATTAATTTGTTTTTAAAAATAATAAAACATATTCAAGTAAATTTCAGATATTTCTTGTGTTGTATTCATGCACAGTTAACTGTTTCAAGTTTTTCTGACTCCCCTCTGAAAAATGTGCCACCAAATATCAAAATATGGCAGGAAACCATACTTTTACAATACTGAGTCATTTAATAATATATATATTTCAGCAGTTTTTTTTTCAAAGAATATATTTACAATGGTTCAAATGAGACGGGCCTCTCCTTACAAATCCTTTCACCTTATGACTGTTCTCATTTGTGAAAATTTTTAGAACAACTTAGGTTTCAAGCTCAGCACTGACACATTTTAAAGACCCAGATTCCGGACCAGCACATTGTCACGGTGGATTACAGAAAACAAGCCATGCATGGCACAGTCCCCGTTAGTTATCAAATTTAAGATATATAGTTTTGTTTATAGTAATATAGCTGGAATATAACCATGTCAGAAATATGATTTTTTAACATTAAAATGATTGACATTTGTATCTGATCGTCAAACAAGTACTTGTCCATATTGAGAGATATTGCTCTGGAACATGTATATATATAACATGATGTATAACGAATATATAAAATTTGAACATAATCAGTCAAAGCATTTAAGAGACATGGCTCTAGAAGCCCAATCATTAAAACAAAATGGCCGCCAGACAGCCATTTTTAATCCAATCTGAAAAATGAATGATGTGCATCAGGAACCTGTAATGTCTAATATATGTACCAAGTTTGAACAAAATCCATCCATAAATGCCATAAATGCTTGATATTTGATGATTTGTTAGCACAAAAATGGCCACCATTTTTTAGCACAAAAATGGCCACCATTTGGCCATTTTGAATAGTATCGTCAAACCAATATATCTGTCTATCTATGACATGATGTATAATGAATATTTAAAATTTGAACATAATCAGTGAAAGCAAGTCAGAGATATGGCACGAGAACCACATTCATTAATACAAAATGGCAGCCAGTCAGCCATTTTGAATCTTATCTGAAAAACAAAATTATTTGCATCAAGGTCCCATAATGTCTAATGTATATACCAAGTTTGAACAAACTCCATCTGTAAACAGCCAAGAAATGGTTGATTTTTAGGATTTTTTAACACAAAAATGGCTGCCATTCGGCCATCTTGAATCAGATCGTAAAACAAAATGATGTGCATCAAGGTCCTATAATGTCTAATGTATATACCAAGATTGAACAAAATCCATTAGTAAACAGCTGAGAAATGCTTGCTTTTGATGATTTTTAGCACAAAAATGGCCGCCATTCGGCCATCTTGAAACAAATTGACGTTCATATGTATAATATCATGTATGATGTATGTATGAAGTTTGATTGTGATTGGTCCAGGCATTTCTAAGATACAGGTCCGGACGCACGCACAGACGCACGCACACACACACACACACACACAGAGGTCAAAACATAAGTCCCCGTTTTCGGACTGTGTCCAAACTGGGACTAATAAGGATACGTCAACAAAATCACTTGGCTATTTAGTGATTCTGACTATCTTTCTGGTGACTGTTTAGTTTGTGACTTCCTAGATCCCGTACAAATATTTCGATAGTGACGTGATCACCTGAGCATTGCGCAGCACTTTCATGTCTCCAGCTGTTTTTAATTTTGCTGTCTAAAATTTTCTGAATTGTTTGATAATAGGGGATGAATGATGACTTTACACCTTTGCAATCAGACAACCTTCGCTTTTGACTTGCTCTATGTGCGTAATAATTTGTAGACTAAGATCCTGGACTGAAGTAACTAAATGTTTTTCGACCAAGTCATTTTATTGCAATGTCGTAGCTACGACAATCACATTAACCGAATCATATGGGTGTTTTAGAATATTGGTAAGATAGGAATGTGAAGTTTGGTTATACTTCGTTCGTTCAAAAAATAAATGTTGCCACCACAGGTATAACATCTAGGATCACAGCTAAAATCTAAATTGTGATTAAATACCGCCAATTTATAAATTAAAACTACGTCAAAAACCAAAATGTTAGATTTCAAAAAATATTAGAAATTCACTTGGCCATCATTAGCCATGGACCTAGCTGTCTCATAATTTTTTTTTTTAATTACATAATGTTTTTCATTGCTTAATAAAATATTAAAAATTCACTTGGCCATCATTAGCCATAGACCTAGCTGTCTCATAATTTTTTTTTTTAATTACATAATGTTTTTCATTGCTTAATATTATCTTAGCCTACAGCCACTATTTAGTACCGTAGCTACAGTTTATTAGCTTTCGTGGTTTTGCTGTAATTCCAGCCACTTCCATTTTTAATCAACAATGAGGTTATTTTTCAATCCTGTAGTGAACGTGATATGGATGTATGGTGAACCAAGAGGTACAAAAATGCAGTTATCTGGACTACCATGTTCACTTGAGCAAATGAAAGCAGATGGAACTCAATCATTTACTATATTTTTCTGAAAAATTACAATCTCTGGAACCCCCTTCATATTTTTTTTTTTCAAATTTTTGTTTACTTTTCTTAGCATGAAACACGAATCATTTAATTCGAAGTTGAATGAAACTGATGAAAACAGTTTGGTTTATAAGAGAACATACAACCATGGAGGTAGAAAAGAGAAGGAGTGAGGACGCTATTTAAGCCCATGTTAATCTTATAAACATCCTTTATCTTCGCTCTGGTTAAGCCACTTATTGTTTTTGTTTTTGTTTAGAAGTCGTTTTATCTACACGATGAGAGCCACTTATTTACACACAGAAAACGAGAGTAGAACTGAAAAAAATAAATTCCGTTTAAACATCGTCTATAAAATTGAATCTCTTGGCAGAGCTCCAGAAGGAGTACCTACACTTTATGCAATTTTTTTTTTAAATTATGCTAATTTATTCATGACGTAGCAGTTTCTGTGCTCATGAATATTCATTAATTTGTGGGTCAATCAATACATTTTAAAAGGGGCGATATATTATTTTTGGGGGAAGAGTTAGAAAGGGGGATTAGCAATCCTTAGGGGGTCAATACAAAAGAAGGGACCCATTTGGAGAGCAGCTCCTCGTGTCTGTTGTTGCACGTGACCTACAGCTGTCAACTGTGTTCGTTCTTCGACTGTGTTCGTTCTTCGACGACTTCCAT